TTAAAAGCTTTGGGCTGTCTCTCGGATCAGCAGCTCCAGGGCTGTCAGTGTAGCACTGAAGTGATCAGGGATGTGACTCCATTCATAATTCATAGCTCACAGTGTTAATTTATGAAGCCTGGAGGCTCTTGGTACATCAGCTAATGGGGGTGGGATGTGGTGGGTTGGGGGGCTGAGCCACGGGAGAGGCTGCCCAGCCCTGCCACAACAAAGCCCACGAGCCCAGCTCCTGTTCTGCACCCTCCTGCAAGCCCACAGCTTGTCCCTCATGCTCCAAGGACCAAGATTAGGTATCTGGACATGTCACCCCTGGGATAAGCCCTGGTGCCTGTTCACTGCCACACCAGGACCTGCAGCATCTCTGCCCCCCTCCAGCTTTGCTACAGCCAGACCCTCTCAAGGTCGAAGGACCAACTTTTAGCTATTTCTGCAAAAAAAATAATGACTCAGAAGAGATTCCCCCAGGCCAACTACAGGCGTGAGCACGGCTGTGGCGGCACCTCACCTCATGCCAAGCAGGAAACACCGCACAGGTGGTTTACAGCTGGATGAGCCACCTGGGAGGAATCACTCCAAGGATCCAAGGCCCCGGGATAAGCGGCATTAGCGCCATGCTGGGCATGGCTCCGAGTGGACAGGGCGCACCTGGGACGCACCTTGTCCCAGGGCAGGATTAAACAAACAAGCAAAGAGCGTTTTGCAAGCCAGGCAAGGCGGTTCACAGAAACTCGGGATAAGTCCAAAACCAGACAAACCAGTTTAGAAAAGCCCCAAACCCTCTCCAACCAGGACACCCCGGGGTTGGCCCCGGGGCACAGGAGGGGAGATGGTGTCTCCCCGGGATGTCACCGCTGGTGGTGCCGCTCGCCCGGCGCTGGCAGTATCTGTCATGTATTTATTACACATTAACCAGAAAGTTTACAAATCTTGGGGCCAGCAAGATCATTTTCACATTTTTCACATTCTTTCACATTTTCACGCCTGCCTGGAGAGCAAAGCAGCGGCCTGAGCCCAGAAAAACCTGATGCCCTTTGAAGCACGTCCAGCTGTGCTGTCCCCCCGCTGGCATCCGGGGCTCACACCCCACCCGGGGTGTTACAGCTCTGATCTCCTGCCCAAACCCACACTGATGGCCCTGTTCTCCTGCTGGAAGTCCCAGCAGGCATCTCCATCCTGGCTGCAAGGAGCAGGGAGATAAGGACACAGCAGGGGATGACAAACTCAAACTGGAGCGGGCACCCGCTGTTATCCAGGACCACTGCAGGGGTTTCCCAGCATCGCCCCTTGTGCCAGCCAGGGTCAGGGAAACTGAGGTAGAAGTGATGGTTCAGGCTGTGCACTGACCCCATGGCTGCAGAGTGATGCAGGATGAGGACATGACCCCACGGTGTGGCTCCTGGCAGCGACCATAACCCCGCCGACAATGCCCAACCACAGCCTGGAGAGGATGGACAGTGGGACAGACAGGCTTTCAAAGGGGAGCAAACAAAAAAAATTCCATGTTTGCTTTGCAAACTAAACTTGCACAGATTTTATGTTTGATTCAAGCACAGGGAAGGGCAGCAGGTGCCTCGTGAGGGGTTTATCCATGGGGCAGAGGGTGTAGGAGCTCTGTGCCTGCCTTGTTGGGCCTCCTCAGTCCCAACATGTTTACCAGCTAAGCTCCATTCCCGGTACAACCGTCCTGACAATGCTCTGAGCAGAGTCAGGACTTTATTCCAGGAAGAGGTTTTCTGCTGGAATGGTTTATACTAGTTCCCCTCACAGAATAAGCAGCACCGACAAAAACATACTTCTGCAGATTTACCAGGATTTCTGCCAGCTCCTGGGACAGGAGAATGTTTTTCACCCATCTCGCTGCTGGGTCTTTCAGAGAAAACATTTCACATGCCGAGCAGGGCCGGGCAAACCCCGGCAGAATAAATGAACTGGAAGTCCCGGAGCCATCCGGCGGCACAGCCCAGGGGCCCGTGCTCCCCTTCCCTCCCCTGCCCTCCGCAGCCAGCCCTGCTTTCCAGCTCCTGCCTGATTTATGCCCACCGACAGGAGGCTTGATCTGCTTCCCTGGGGATTACAGAGCTCTCCGACACCGGCCACGCACCCGGGCTGCAAAAGTTCCCCGGGGATGATGGGGAAGCACGTCCTGCTGCAAGCGCTGCCAGGGGTGGGATGGACCCACAAGGGATGTGCCGGGGCAAAGAGCCTCGACAAGACACAGCCAAGCCAAGCAGCAGGGAAATCCCTCCAAAGCGGGCAAACAACTTGGGGGGAAAAGGATCTTACAGCAGGGCTGGGAAGCCCTCGGTTGGAGAGTCTGCAGCCACCATCCCCATTCCCCCCACAGGGCCCCTCCAGCCCCCATCGCTCCCTGAAGCCTTATTGCTCTTGGAAGGCCCAAAGGAAAGGAATGAGAAGGTGAGGCAGAGGCAGATGCAAAGGACTGACAAGAAATACCAAGGAGCAAATCGCTTTGGGTTTTTCATGCCGAAGATATTTGCATTCTTATTTCTCCCCTGGAGGCACAAACCTCTTTTGTTGTCCCACAACCACTTGCACTGTTGATGCCAGGAAGAATTTCAGCATGGGGAGGGTGACCCATTTCCAAGGAAAAGCCTGTATGGACTGGGATATCAGCTCTATGAGGCCAGAGGGGTGGTCACCCTTTATCTGCGCCCCTGAAAGGCAAGATATGGATAAAGGGTAACCACCTCAGAGGAAACCTCAGGTTTCCTTGGAAGAAGGGGTTTTCCTGTGGGACAGGGCGATTCCCAAGGACACACAGGGCACAGTCCCATGGACGAGCACTTGGATTTCAATTTAGGGACTGAGAGGAGTGAAGCTGCTGGAACATCCCTGTGAGCACCAGCACTTGCTCTTGAACCAGCATTGCCACTAGAAACCAGCAGCAGCTTTCCCAAAGTTCCCAAACAAAAGCAGCAGCTGATTTGCCTCATTTTGGGGGACCTGCAGAATTCTGCCCCCACTGCCCTTTGCTGTGCCACCCCACCAGCCATCCCATTGTGACAAAGGAAGGGAAAAGCAGGAGAAGGGACTCTGGCCAAACCAAACACTGCAGCCCTTGCACTGAAGGAACACTCTAACCTGGGTACTCTTTCCAGGGGTGTGAACCAGGATCACCGGGTTCCAACATTAACCCAGCAATCTGTGGTGGGGTCCTGGGCCAGCACAGAGGGCAGACCCCAGGAGGGCAGGTGAGAGGAGTCTGGTCACTGTCCCAGCACTCTGAGCCCTCTGCTATTCCCTGCAGGCAAAAGTCACTGGCCCACAAGCCCCAAGGAACGGTGCAAGACTCCAAAACCTCTTGGCAGCATCCATCTGCTGCAGCAGAAGTGGCTGTGGCACAGAGAGCCCCAGTGCTGTCAGGTTTTTTTCCTTCTTTTTTACTGATTTCAAGGAAATTTAGAGGACTTAAGCACTCATTGCTTTAGTTCCATCCCTCTCTGCCAAGCACTGCTGGGCACAGGAAGAAACCCTGCCCTGTGCTCTCCGTGCCAGATGTGAGGTTGGATCTCAGGGAAAGGTTCTTCCCCCAGAGGGTGGTTGGGCACCACGTTTCCCCTGAAAATGCAACTGAGGGAAATGTTTCTCCCTAAAAATGCAACTAAGGAAAATGCTTTCCCCTAAAAAGTCAACCAAGGGAGATGTTTTTCCCTAAAAAAAATGTAACTAAGGGAGATGCTTTCCCCTAAAAATTTGAGCAAGGGAGATGCTTTCCCCTAAAAGTACAACGAAGGGAGATGTTTTCCCTTAGAAATGCAACTGAAGAACATGTTTTTCCCTAAAAATACAACTTAAGGAGATGGTTTCCTCTGAAAAATGCAATTAAAGGATGTTTTCTCCTAAACGTGCAACTAGCAGAGATGGTTTCCTCTGAAAAATGCAACTAAAGGATGTTTTCTCCTAAACGTGCAACTAGCAGAGATGGTTTCCTCTGAAAAATGCAACTAAAGGATGTTTTCTCCTAAACGTGCAACTAGCAGAGATGGTTTCCCCTAAAAATTCAACCCAGGGAGATGTCTTTCCCTAGAAGTACAACTAAGGGAGATGTTTTCTCCTAAAAACGTGACCAAAGGAGATGTTTTCCCATAAAAATGTAACTAAAGAACACGTTTTTCCATAAAAATGCAACTAAAGGAGATGGTTTCCCCCTAAAAATCCAACCCAGGGAGATGTCTTTCCCTAAACACTTAACCCAGGGAGTCCTTTTTCCCTAAAAATTCAACCCAGGGTGATGTTTTCTCCTAAAAGTACAAGCAAGGGAGATGGCTTCCCCTAAAAATTCAACCCAGGGAGGTTTTCTCCCTCAAAAATGCAACCAAAGAACACGCTTTTCCCTAAAAAAAAACAATTAAAGGCGACTGGTTTTCCCCTAAAAATTCAACCAAGGGAGACACTTTCCCCTAAAAGTACAACTAAGGGAGATGGTTTCCACTAAAAGATTCAACCCAGGGAGATGTGAGTTTTTTCCCTAAAAACGCAACAAAGGGAGACGTTTTCCCTGAAAACACAACTAAGGGACGCATTTCCCCTAAAAACACAACTAAGGGACACATTTCCCATAAAAACGCACCATGCACTGCACCCAAAGGGGACAGGGGCACTCTGGCACCCTCAAGCGCACAGGGGGGGAGGGGGTACTTGCACATCCTGCATCCCCATCCCCAGGGATGCTCCAGCGTGCGGGGATGAGGGGGGACCCGCTCGGGCACCTGCTCCCCGCGGGGAGATGTCCCTGCGGCAGGTGCGGGGCTGGCGTGGAGGGTCTCCTTCTCTCTCTTCTCTCTTTCTCTCGTGGTCCCTGGAGGAGCAGAGGGGGGGGCGAAGGAGCCGCTCCCGCCGCCTGCACCGCCCCTCCCCGCACACGCGGTGCCGCCGCTGGGGCGAGCCGGGCCCGGCGCCGCGCACATGGGCGCTGCGGAGCCGCCGGCGGAGACCGGCTCCAGCCGGTATATAAGGGCTGCGAGCGAGCACCGAGCAGCAGCAGCCGCCGCCGCCGCGGGCAGCGGGAGCAGCAGCGGCCGGCGGGGCAGCGGGGGCCGCCTCCTCGCCCAGGGTCGCCCGCCCGCCCGCTCGCCCTCCCCGTGCCATGGGCAGCCCCTGACCCCGCCGCAGCACCGGGTGAGTGGGGCTCCCTCCCGGGGGGAGCGGGGTGGGGGAGGGCTTTGTTTCTATGTCTCCTTTTCTTTTTTTTTTTTTTTTTTATCCTCCCCATTCTTATTTTTCGCCTCTTTTAAACGTTATTATTTTTTTTCCCCCCCTCCCCTCTCTTCCCCTCGCCCGCATCCCTGTATTTTTAGCCCGCGGCCCCGGCGATGCAGGAATCGAGGGCTGAAATGTTGGGAAAGTGATGCAGGGAAGGGGGGGCCACGCCGGGCCCCTGCGCGCTCCGGCTTCTTAATTTTCAGCTTTTTTTCTCTCCCCTCCCCGCATCGCCATTTCTTTTAATCTTTAAACGTACAAAACGCACGCCCCAGGTCTGCGGTTTCGGGGTTGTTTTTTCTTCCCTTCCTTTTTTCTTTTTTTTTTTTTTCCTCCTTTCTGTCCCTAAGCGTGCTGCTTCCTCCTAAACCTACTCTCCCCCCAATTCCTCGTGCGGTGACACAGGAATTCACGGCAGCCCCGTCCCCCTTCTCGGGGGGGGGGGTCTCCAGGCACTTCCCACAAAACTTCGGGCCGCCGCCGGGGGGTGGGGGGATCCCGCCCGTGCCCCCTCGCCCCCGGCGCGGGGCTGCAGCAGAAGCGGCACCGCAGGGATGGAGGAGCCCACGCCTCGCTGCATCCCCGGGAGAAAGGATCCCACGGGAGCCCGCGCCATGCAGCACCGCACAGTGGGGTCTGCGAGCTGCGGGGACCACCCCCTTGCCCCGCTCGGGGACCCCTCGCGTGGGCTCAACAGCTCCCACCCCTGCCGAGCTCCCAGTGGGCGCCCCTGTCTCGCACTCGCCTGCTCCGCCGAGAGAAGTTGCCCGGGGCTGGGGGGCGGCGTGGCCGGAGCCGCTGGGGCTCCGTGCGCCGAGAACGCGGTGCCGAGGAGATCTGAGCAGAAAATGGAGGAGGGAAATGCCCGGTGGCTGCCGGGGCCGGCGGTGCGGGGGGGAAGAGCGCGCAAAGAGCCGGCGGCCAGCGCGGTGCCCGGGGCAGCCCCCGGGCGGGACACCCATCCCTCCCTCCCCTGGGGTGGCTGCTGGGAGCCAGCGCTGGGGCGTGACCCCGGCACTGCCCTGTGTGTCCCCCCCTCCACCACCCACCCACCCACCCACGCAGGTGTGCGACACGGTGACACTGGCACCCCCCACACGGGTGTGGCAGCGACCCCCGGCACGGTGACCCCGGCGCTGTCCCCGTCCCTGCGCAGGTGTAGCAGCGACCCCAGGACTGTGACCCTGGCGCTGTCCCCCACCCCGTGCAGGCTTGGCACTGGCCCTGGCACTGTCCCCCCGCAGGGTTGTGGCAGCGCAGGAGTTCCTCAAGGAGCTCCGCGTGGGACAGAAGCTGCCCCTGCACACCCACAGCCCCTGGTGACACGGAGAAGGGCTGAAGAGCCCCCCATGTCATATGGGGGGATCCCCTCCAGCTCCTCCTGCCCTGGGGGGGTGTAAGTGGTCCCAAGGGCTGCAGGGGAGCTGGTGGCAGTGGGGGATTGTCCCCATCCCCTGTTTTGAGGTGTGGGCAGCTCTGAGCTGCAGCTCTGGGGGCAGACAAGCTCCCCAGGAGTTACTGTCATCCCAGAGCCAGCGGCTGCGGGATTCTGGTCACCACAGCATGTGACAGTGGGTTCTGTCACTGACTGATCCTGCGGCAAATGGGTGTCACCGAGGTGTCACCGGCCAGGCAGGGGGTGCAGCGGGGAGGGCGGGTGCCCCGAGGGGGTTCCTGCAGCTCCACCAGCCCGCGCCGGGTTCTGCGGTGGATCTTTCACGAACCCACCCCCTCACTCCGATAGACAGATGACAGCTCTCGGGTTTGGCTGCTGCAAACAGCCTGCCCGAGTGCTGAGCTGAGAGTTTCTGGTCCGGGGCTCACCAGGCACCAGCAGGAAGGAGCCCGTGGGGTGGCAGAGGCAGAAACATCAGCCCAGCTCCTCTATTTAATCCCTCAGCAGCACAGGGACTGGCTTGTGGTGCCTTCAGCAATGCTACAGCTCCTAGACTGTGCCTCTTCTAGCAAAATTCAGCCTAAACTCACGCTTGGCTCCCTGTTCCCTTTTTTTCCAGATCCAAAATGACGGTCAAAGCTGTAAAAATGCCGTGCACCTCTGCAAACGTTTATACAAAAGTGCCTGACGGAGGATGGGGCTGGACAGTTGCTTTTGCATTCTTTGTTGTGGAAGCCCTGACATACGGCATCCTAAAATCATTTGGAGTCTTCTTCAATGACCTGATGGAAAGCTTTGACGAAACCAACAGCAGGATATCATGGATAATATCCATATGTGTGTTTGTGCAGACCTTCACAGGTAAGAGGAACAGGCGCTCGGCGCGGGTGAAAGGGGCAGCCGTACTGCTGACTCAGCAAACAAAGACCCGGCACCTGTGACTTTCGTGTCTCTAATGGCTCCACTATAAATTAAGTAACAGCCATAAAGCTCAAAGGCTGCATGAAATGCTAAGAAATGGCTGTCTCACCCTTTGAGCCCTGGCTCGTGTCCTTGCACGGGGCAGGGACACAGTCCGTGTGGTTGGCCTTGGCCTGGCTGTTCAGGTCTCTCCAGCAAGAGGCAAAAACCAGAGCTTTGAAACCAAACTCTGCAGTGAAAAGGATTAGAAGTAGCTGGAGCCTGGGGATGTGGCTGCAGGTTTGCCCCAGGCTTCCATGCACCCGTCTTTAAGTCTCTTGTGATGATTTTTTAGCACGCCCTCAGTGCCACGAGCTGTGCAGCGCTCCAAGGATGGCCCCGGGGTGACACTGCGCTGTGCGGGGAGGTGGCACAACAGGAGGACCTGGGCAGGAGGAGTATGAGAAGAGCCTCTGGAGGAGATGGTAGCTGGTGAGGCTGCTGAGTTGGGTGCTGACCAGGGCTCTCTCCCTCCCCAGCTCCTCTGTCGACGGTGCTCAGCAACCGCTTCGGCCACCGCCTGGTGGTGATGGCTGGGGGGCTGCTCATCAGCACCGGGATGGTCATCGCCGCCTTCGCCCGCTCCGTCGTGGACATGTATGTCACCATTGGCATCATCTCCGGTGAGTCATCCTCTCCCGTACCTGTCAAACGCTCCCCCTGCTCTCCTGCAGCTTCCCGCGAGCCACGGGGGTTTCACTCCCCCGGTGACACAGGGATTGCTTAACGCTGCTGCTCCCCCCCCGAGCTGACCTCGCCCTGCTGGGAGCCCTAAGTTGGGCTCCAGGCTTGGCTTTCTGCTCTCTCTCACCCTGGGACTTGGTCCTGTGCTCGTGCAGCCGTACTGGGCTCTTCTCATGGACTGGGATCGCTGGGGAGACCAAACTGCTCACGGGGTCAAATCCTCTTGACTTCTGCTTCTGTCTCTTTTTTTTTTTCCTTTTCCTGATACTTTTCCCCCTCTCCAGCCTGGCCTTGGTGTCCTTCTCCCAGGCATTTGCCTTGCTTAGGGGAGCAGTTGCTACAGGCTCAAATTCTTTAGGCAGATGAGGTCCTGAAAGTGGACCCCGCTGGCTGCTTTGGAGCAAAGGCATTATCTGGCAGGTTTGGGAGGCTGGGTCTCTTGGGTTTTTACTTTCCTCTTTTGTTTTTCTTCCTCCCCCCTCCAATTCACAAAAAAAAATAACATTCTGGTTTCCCCAATGATTTTCTTCCAGGGTGACTTGCTGAGTTGGCCGAAATGATACTGTGTAAATCACCATCCGGGAAAGCCGAACTTAACGTGTTCTTGCATCGGTGTTTCCCCCTCCTTTACTTGTTGTTATGGCAATTTTTGGCATTTATTCACAGGCCTCGGATACTGCCTCTCCTTCCTCCCGACTGTCACCATTTTATCACAGTATTTTGACAAAAGGCGCTCGCTGGTCACAGCAGTGGCATCTACAGGGGAATGTTTCGCCGTCTTCTCCTTCGCACCAGGTACGGTGCCCGCGTGCTGGGAGTTTACACGTGCGTGCCTAAAGCTCAGCGCTGCTCCCCTCAGCCTGCTAAAGCCCGCAGGTTGTTGCTCATGTGTGCCATGGCACTCGTGCCCTGCAGGCAGGGTGACAAATAATCCTCGGGCCGGGTCTAACGCTGCCCGAGCCGTCCCCAGCAGGATCTGCCAGGGCAGGACATGCCTGGCTGATACGCAGCCCGATGGGCTCCCTATATAGATCTGCCAGGCTAAAAATAAGACAGAGAAACTTCAGCTATTTAAAACACACACAGTACACACATAACTGCTCCTAAAGGTTAGTGGGCTTGTGCTTAAGCACGGGCAGCCGAGCCGCTGCAGCCTTTTGGGGACCTGTCCCCAGGCAGGATGTCCCTGTCACTCCCTGTCCTTGGCTGTTCAGGTGGTCCTGCTGTGCATGTGTGCTCTCAGCTAATCCCCAGTGCAAAGCTGCTTTGGTTGCAAATGAAGGCTGGTAATTCAGCAGTGACGTGCACCTTTTGAGCAGGGCTGAGGGACTTCCTCTAGTAGCTGGTTTCAGGGTGGGGTCAGCGGCGAGAGGAAACTCGAGTGTTGAGTTTGCGCTCCTTCACTAAAAATAACACCCCCTTCACCCCCAAATTCAGAAGGGGCTGCCTAGAGTGTGGCTTCTGCTAGCCAGGTGGTGAACACAGCTTCTAGCTTTTGGCTGCTGCAGCTGAGGGCAGGAAGGTGGGTGCCAGACCCCTGAGCAGGAGGGACCCCCTGCTCAGCCTTTGCGAGAGCCAAGGCGCCTGGAACCCTCCGGTGGTAAAACTCAAGTGACTTCCCCGCCTGTAAATTCAACTGCTTTGGTGTAACTGCAGGCTTTCCTAGTTACAATTTCTTCTTCCTCTGCCCTCTTCACTCAGCAATCACAGCTCTGAAGGAGCAGATTGGTTGGAGGTACAGCCTGCTTTCTGTCGGGGTGCTGCAGCTTGGCATCACCGTCTGCGGATCGCTGCTGCGACCCATCGTCATCAAAGAGCAAGAAGAAGCGAAAGCACAGCCTCCAGAAGAGTCCACGGAGACAAAGTACATGCTTGAAAATGAGCAAACATGCACCTCAATAGAGTCCATAGACTCAGGAGTCGATATAACTACCTCACCCAGCAATGTGCCTGGAAAAACCAAAGCAGAGCCGAAAAGTGAAGAACCAAAGCAACATGGACAGATCCCTGTTGAAAATTACAGCACCCCTCCAGAACCAAAAACCAAACTACTGGACTTCTCTGTGATGAGAGACTATAGCTTTATCTGTTATGCATTCTTTGGCCTGTTTGCAACCCTGGGCTTCTTCGCTCCCTCCCTCTACATCATCCCCCTGAGCCTCAGCCTGGGCATCGGCAAGGACCACTCCGCGTACATCCTGTCGGCCATGGCCATCGCCGAGGTCTTCGGAAGGATCTTCGCTGGCTGGGTGCTCAACAAGAAGCCCATCCGCAAGATCTACATCGAACTCATCTGTGTCATCCTGCTGGCTGTAGCACTGTTTGCCTTCCCTTTTGCCTCCGAGTTCTGGGGCTTGATGACATGTAGCATTTATTTTGGGTTCATGCTCGGCACGGTGGCGGGCACGCATATTCCCCTCCTGGCGGAGGACGATGTGGTTGGCATTGAAAGGATGTCTTCTGCAGCTGGAGTCTATGTCTTCATTCAAAGCTTAGCTGGGTTGGCTGGACCACCCATCGCAGGTAACTCTCAAACTTTCACGTTAATTTGTGTTTTTTTTTAAATGTTTGACGGCTGTTGGTGCTGATCTCTGTCTAGAAAGGGTTCTGGCAGCGCTAATCACGGCACTATCCTAAAAGCCCTGTAACGAGTATTAGGAGACTCTGGGAGCCAGAAGACTGCTGCAATGCAGCTCTGCAGAGTCCCACGGATCAGGCAGTCTCCACTGAGGAACCTCAGAGGGAAGGGAAATACTGCAGTGCTACCCTGATCCTGTGAGAAACCCAAACCTGGCATCACTTCAGGCTCTAGCGACCGGCAGAGGCGAATCCCTCTCGCTGTGCCTGTGTCTGTGCCACACACTGCAGAGAGGGGAAGTCTCTATCAGAACAAACAGATGCTTGATGCATCTCGGGCTCAGAGTCCCTGCGGTGCCCAGAGGCTTCTGACTTGCCTGCAGATGACACCACGAACCCCTGAACACAACGGGTTTACTTTTTAAAGTGGCATCTGTTTATCATCGAGTTCTGCCTGCAGATAAAACGACGCAGAGGCACCAGGATTAAAAATCTGCAGGAAGGATGGCTGGGCAGGGGAGAGGGGGAGCTAGCTGGGACTAACTGCTGTAATTGTTTTTTTTGTAGGTGTCTTAGTGGATACGACAAAGAACTACAGCTCAGCCTTCTACTCCTGTGCTGCTGGCATGGTCCTGGGGGCCGTGTTTCTGGCCCTGGTGAGGCCGTGCAAGACTGGGCTGTGCCACCAGCAGCAGCAGCAGCAGCAGCAGCAGCAGCAGGTGGAGGAGAGCCCGCCAGGGCCCCCACCAGAATTACCAGATGACTTTATAGACATGGATATTGGAAAAGCAGAAAATTCAGGAAAAGGCTCTGACAGCGTGGTATAAAAAAAAAAAAAAAACAACCAACCCTGTTCCTTTCTCCATCTAATGTACTCGGCGTAAGGCTGGGGGAAATGTCAGCTCTGCTCCACGTTTTAAAACTACATTCTAAAGGGAATGTGAAATTTTAAATGTGAACAGTTGCTACCAACGACTTTTTTTTTTTTTTTTTAAATATTAGGCAGAACTTTTTTAACCAACAATGGAAAGCTCCATAGAAAATACGGATAGCCACGTAAAAATAACTCCTGTCTAGCATGAAGATGTGATGCACACTCTTGCTTTCCTGATAACAAGCATAGGTAAAGGTTCAACTGATCCCATAAATACTGACAACAGCAACAGCAGAAGCAGCTCAGCCTCTGACTGTCACCCATTCCCTACCACAAATTCCACACAGACAAGAAACCGATGATACGAACTGGAGACAAGCACTTCATACACCACCAGGAGCCAACTGAATCTTCTTCTGGAGGGATACAGACTCATGTTTTAGCTCTGAGGAGGAGGCTAGGCTAGATAGCTGACACTTAGAAACCATTGCTAATGATCTTAACTTGAATGTCACAAATGCTGGGAAAAATCAAAGGCTCCGTGTGTCTTTATGGCCAGTTTTTACTGCACGTGTTTCCTGAGATCATTTTTCTTCTCCTGACTGGGATCCCTAGAACTGTTTTCTCTTGATAGTCAGATCTGATGTACTGTTTCTAATTTAACTAGTATTTATTAATTTATTCTGAGATTGTTAAGGGAGGTTAGCTTAAATAACTGGAGAGGAAAAATGATCTTCTGCATAACGGAAAGCTGTCTTTACATCATTCTCTTCAATGCCTATCTTGTATTGCTTGTGAAATTGTTGGGAAAATTACTCTTACAGCATAAAGTGTAGCTGTTTTTAATAGGTAAGTCTTAAGTAACCCAGTTATTTAAAAAGGAAAAAAAAAAAAAAAAAACAATAAACTACAGATCCAGCATCTCTTTCCACGGAAAAAGGCTCAGCAGGATTTGGCCCAGCGTGTCTTAACGTACCCAAAACCTTCGCTCACAGGTGCACCAGGAAACCTCTGCCGCATCCCCGATGGAATGTGGGACCCCCCCACATCTGTGGGGTCACGGGGCGGCTGGGCTGAGCTGCACCCCCTCCCCAGCTCTCCCCAAAGGCAGCAAGAGGCTTTTTTTTTTTTTTGCTTTTTTTTTTTTTTGCTGCTGCCATCAGTGAGAAGCGAAGCGGAGCCTGTGCACGTGGATGGTGCGAAGGGAGCGACAAAAGACAAGGGGCGAGCTGTTCATTTAGTCTTAACGGGAGAGATTCCTGCTCACGGTGACACGAGCTTGCTTACCCCACCTATATGCATCTTCTCGCCTCTAGGCAACTCAGGGGGACAAATCAAACAAGTCTGTTCTGGTTTGGATGGAAACCCAAACCACCATTTCTGTGTGTTTTAAGTGGAAGTGGCATCATCCATTAACTGCTACGCTGACCTGTCTGTGTTTTACCAGCCATAAGAAATGTGGGACAATCTGTGTAAAAAAAAAAAAAAAAGGAGAAAAAAAAAAAAAAAGAAAAAGAACAACCTCTTTTTGGGAAGGTGCTTGATTTGTTTTTTTCTGTCTTAGATGTCCAAAAAAAAAAAAAAAAAGGAAAAAAAAAAAAAAAAAAAAAAAAGAGAAACAGGCACTCTTGCAAGTGGCTGGAGCAATTCATCCTCACTGCCCGAGACCCGCGGTCTCGCGTCCTTCCTCTGCCTCAGCACTTTATCACGGCCAGCAGAACCTCGCTGCGTTGCACCCAGGACTGGAAGACCCCCTTACAGAGAACTGAGAGTTGTGTGAATCAGTGATTAATGAACAAATAACCACGTCGCATCGAGATGCGCTTTTTTTTTATTTATTGTTTAATTTATGATACTTCAAGCGTTTTGGTAAACGTTCTGTAGCCTGTCAATTGTAAGGTTATTGAAGTCCTTTGTGACACGAGACCTCACTACAGCACTTTGCTATTACAACTGCTTGGAAGTGGAAATAAGGCCTCCAGGTTTTGCGTGTGTGTGGAAGCTCCCTGTTCTGCAGATTTGCGAGGTTCTACTGTAACTTGGGTTTGGGGTTTTTCGCTTTGCCTTTTTTTTTTTTTTTTTTTTTTTTTTTTTTTTTTTACAACAGTTTCCAATACAGATCAAATAATATGTTTGTCACTGACCTCACAGTCCGTTTCTGTTCCTGTCTGTGTAGCAGCACGAGCAGGGGAGCGAGTGATGAGTATGTGTGTGTGCGGGCGCAGCAGACCCACAAGCAGGATTTACTGATTTGTTTGTAACGTACCCAGTGGACTCTGGAAATACTCTAAACACTGAGATTTGCAATAAACTTCTTTTTTCTTTTTTTTTCCCCTTTCCTTCCTTCTTTTCTTTTTTTTTTTTTAAATAATAAACACAGTGAAGAAACTTTCCTCCTCTCCCTCTTCTCCATCCCTGGGATGTCCCAAGCCTTCGCCCTGCGGGTTCCTTGTGGGATGTGGCCGTTTCACCCCCTCCCAAAGTGCTCTCACAGCCTGGCTGTCACATGCCACTTCTCCAGCCTGAAGTGGCTGTGCTTTCCCTGCACATTGGGCAATCCAACTGCTTTAAATGAGCTGCCTGGAAGCTGTGGATTAGCGCTGACCTCAAGGGTGCTCTTGTAAACTCTTACCCGGGGAGCCCTGATTAGAGGGAGCCTTTTCTTCTCCTGAGTGGTGCCTGAATTGGTGGCACTTAGGAGCATTACCCTCGTGCCTTCAAGAAGCACGCAATCATGTAATTATTTTATCATCTCTGAATTGCTGAATACTTTCCCCATGCCAGGCTGAGCAACTTGTGTATCAGAAAATCTACTTAAAAAAAAAAAAAAAAAAAGCCACTAAATAGCAGAACAGTCGCACTAAGGAGCAATTTTCCCTCCCTCAAACCTAATTTCTTTTTACACCAGAGAGAGAGGCCCTTCCCCGCTTACCCTGCGACTCCCAGCATCACCAAACCCTCCAAGGAGTAGCAGCCACATCCCAAGTATCACTGCATGCATTAGATTTGCAAATGAACTACTTGCAGGAGGAATCATCACAGCCGCTGATGTGTATTAAGTACAATCTGTTTTTCGTTCTGGTTGCAAAAGTCCTAGAACAGAGGTGATCCCTGCGTGCAAGCAGGGCAGGCTCGAGCACAAATACCAAAGTCCCGGGAAGCTAATCTGTCCAAATTTGACTCTGACTCAACTGCAGCAGTGAACAAACATTATTTGCAACAGTTTCCTCAAAAACAACCCCCCAAAAATAAGGCGTTGCAAAGGCTGCACACAGTTCACATAAATAAAAGCACATTTAACTGTGGCACTATCAGATGTCTCTGCCTGCACAGAAAGAGTTCAGAGTCGTTTTTCCCACCTGGTTTAAATTAATTGCCCATGACCTTCTCTGTTATCCTGGCACAAAGGCATTAAGGCCAGAACAAAATAGGATAAGAACATATTTATTCAGTAGCACTGCATGTCTACTTAGTACCACGGTAACTAAGAGGAGAATGTGAGGCAGGACGTGCTTCAGCAGTCCTTGCTATTCCTCTCCAAAAGGGTTGTATAAACTCTTGCAGTCAATGAGGCCAGTGCCAGCCAAATGTAAATAGAGGAAATTACACAAGGTCAGCTTGGGAAAGGCCAGAAGCCCTCAGATCGTAGGCATCTGCCCTTTCTAAAGCAGAAAGGAAGCTGGAAAGTGGGGGGTTGTTTGTTGCTTTGGGGTCTTTTTTTTTAAAAAAAAAAAACCTCTACAAAACAAAATCAAAAAAAAAAACAGAAAAAAAAACAACCAAAAGACAAAATCATTTTTTCCATTTGATATTAAAAGGAGGCAGAGCCTCTTGTTCTTTTTGCACTTATTTTAGCTAAGTTGACACCAGGTTCTTAAAGGGGACAAATGAATCTTTAAAAATAGCTAAACTGGTTCTGGAAAGAAAGCAAAGTAGGTGCTTACAAAACAGCCTGAATGTTTTAACGTGTCCCTTCAGATGTTACTTGTTACCATCTGAGATCATCGTGTTCCAGCTGCCTGTAGTAAACATGACCTGAATTCTCACAGTGATGCAAGCCCAGCAGCAGCCACCCCGTCCTTCCTTCCTCTTCAAAACCCATCCTAAAGATGCTTCACAGCTCGGGTTTAGGAAAAGCTTTGGTTTTAGGAAAGCATCCCCTTAACTTCTGGCTTGGTTTGAGGGCTGGGGGAAGCAAGGGCTGCTGCCCAGAGGGATTGTTTTATACGTGATGTCCACACCAAAAGACTGGACCCTTCAGGAAGAAATTCAGGAAGAATTTCTTCATGGAAAGGGTGGTCAGGCATCAGAAGGGGCTGCCCAGGGAGGTGGGGGAGTCACCATCTCCAGAGGTGTCCAAGAAATGACTCGGACGTGGCACTCAGTGCTATGGTTTAATTGACAGGGCAGCGTTTGGTCAAAGACTTGATGACCTTGGAGGTCTTTCCCAACCTCAGTGATTGTATTCTGTGATTCCATGACCCCTGGTTCCCACTGGGACACTGCACCAGACACACAGGGGAAAGGCTCCTGGGCATTCCAAGCCTGCTGGCTGGTTCCCAAAGCCGGTGTGCAGCCTCCGAGCTTCCCACCCATCCCGGCCTCCCCCGGCCATCCCGGCAGCAAACCACGCACTTTTCCCCTCCCCACTTTCACCCCCGTGGACTTTTACTTGCAGGATCTGCAAATCTGCGGCCGCACCAGCACAAAGCTCACTCTGCAAATTGCAGTAAGTCATCTAATAAATCAAATGCCATCTCCTCCCCCCCCCCCCCCCCCCCCCCCCCCCCCCCAGTCACTGCAGTCGACGAGCTCCAGTTACAACAATTTGTGGTAAAATATTACTCACCAGCACTTTGGCCCGTGCGAGGCAGCTCTGCCTCGGCACAGACAGCCCCTAAATCACAGCTTTGTCACAGAAGCCACAAGCATAACCAAAAGACTTATTACACGCAGCCACTGCGAGGAGAAGGCCAAGGGGACAATAGTTCCCTTCGCTTCCCTTTGTCAGAGCTTTCATTAACGTCGTGAACGTCTTTCTCCGCTTCATCCGCTGCTGGGTGCCTGCCACGCTCAGCCTGGCACAGGGGCAGCCAGGACCAGCCCCAGAGAGCCTGAGAGAGGGCAAAGCAGGGTGCTGAGCATCACCCCGTGCTCCTGCCTCGGCAACCTGCTCTCCCAGCAGGGCTGGTACCTCCAGTCCTGTCCCTCTGATTCCCTTTAATCTCCAGCAGTTTGTCCATGTGCTACGGGAAGTTATGATAATCAGGCATTTTTAGCACTTCAAGGCTTTTGCCTTTTGCTGTGATGTGGCTGATAGGTGTGTTTTTTTTTTCCGATGTTGCAAAATGAGACAAGGACCCAAAATTGCCAGTGAAGAGCAAAGGCCGTTTTTGGGATCATGCCTGGGGTTGGAGGATGGCAGGAGACAGGCACGAGGGGGCACAGGGCAGCACCAGCACTGCCAGGGGTGCATCATTCCCACTGCTGCCCATGCACAGTAACAGGGGGGTATAAACTGTAAATTAATGACAAAATAACGCAGTGACAGATAAAGATACGTGAAAAGGTCCAATCCTGACACCACCACTCAGACAAACCTGCTGCTGGAGCCTTTTATCTGCTGCAGGCACAGCCCTTGGCCAAAGCCACCCAAACCCTACCCCTCACAGGTCCTCAGCCTCCCTTCCTTTGCCAGCAGTGCCCACCCCACGGCTGTGTGTCCCGGCCAGAGCACGGCGGTGACTTGAGGACACCACGAGGCCACTCCTGCTCCAGATGCTGCATCCACAGGCAGGAGCTGGCGCAGCAACTGCATCCCCTCCTGGAGAACCGGGAGCGAAAGCAGGTTCTGGTTTGCACAGAGAGGAGGGAGGAGCA